ATAATATTTTCTGTGGAATTTTAAATTTTTAGAGGAGACCTAAGGCCTGTATAAAAGATACAACTGAGCGAGCGCTCGTGAACATTTCTGTTGGAGGTATGCAGATGTTCGCCCTGTTGAAAAGGTATCAGGTTTCCCCTGCGGGTTAAGGACTAGTATTATTGATGCAATACTCTCAGAATGCTTGTTATTTTAGATTCTTTTAAGTCAAAGATATGCAGAACACTTAATTATTTCTGAATAACTTGATGTTATTGTTTTAAAGGTAGATAAGCAGGGGACCAATGAAAAAGATCCGGCCTGCAGTAACTGGTTACGATTTGTCAAGTCTTCCTCAATATAACAACAGGAAATATCATCCCTATCACGTGCGAGGGTATCATCTTCTATATGACGTCACGTGACGTACAGCGGGGTGAAGAGCTTCCGGTCTGGCATGGTGACGGATATGGGAGGTTTTTAGGCGTAAACCGCATACATCCGGGTAATTAAAGAATAAAGTAGATGTTATGGCTTAAACAATCTAGTTATCATATAATTTTACCATATACAATGTGGTTCTCAACAATTTTCATTGCATGCTGTTGTTTCTTTGGGGTATTTAAGGCGTAAAACACAAACACCTGGGTATATAATTATACAATTTATACATAACATGCCTTAATTTTTTTTGGTCAAATTTCTCTAAAATGCAATCGATTAAAAAAATGATACTCTTTCATAAAAAATTATGAAGATTATATTTAAACACCTTTGATAAAAAGTGAGATATGTTTTTATATTTATTTTTTTTTCTTGGGGGGGGGGGGGGGGGGGCTTTCTACAAATCCAATTTTAAACTGATTAAAAAACTGCACATGAAATCTGGAAAATATACTTTTGCAATGTATCAAATTTGTTAATTTCTAATTTCCTTATTTTGGAATCGAGCAGTACCTAAAGGTACTTATTTTCCTTTCTTGTTCAAATTGTAATAAAGTTTGGCCAGGGTTTGCTTATGCTTGTTAGAAAATATTCTACTGTTACATATACCATGAGGCAAAAAAGGATACATCCTCTTTGAATGCAAGTGAGTTAAGGCTACATATGGAGTTTTCTATGCAAAATAATTAATTAAGACCCATTATTACTATACATACTGAAAAGAAAATGTTAGGAATAGTTTTCTTATACATTCTAGGTACCCACGATATGCAACTGCATGTACACATTATGACGTCATATCACGACGTCATCGACCTTTACTACACATTTTCATAAGAAACATCAACAAAATCGCTTCTGCGACAGGGCATACCTTACTTTGTTTTACAAAATATCCCAAAGATTTAAGATATTGCTGCACAAATGTCGACACTGCAATTGTTTAGTTACTATTCGTGCAGTTCTAAGTTGAAACAGGATAAAACTGTACAGTCCAGTGTAAGTTAGTAAAATTTTTATTGATTGAAGAAAAGTCTAGGATTTGTGCAGCAATTTTAATAATTTGAAGAATATTCTCCTTAATATTAGACTTTATTTATTTAAAATTAAATAGTATATGCTCTTGCGCCGACGTTGTTTTGTTAATATGTTATATTACCTTGAATTTGAAAGAACTATGACGTCATAATATGACGTCATAATGTGCACTTGCAATAATACACTGTGTGTACTTAGTATGTATAAGAAAATCAATTTGAATTTTCTTTGTACATAAAATATAAAATAAATGCATTTTTATTAGCTCATTTGCATAGAAAAAACATATCTAGCCTTAACTCACTTGCGAAGGTCTAACGAATTTTGATACAGCAGATAAAATTTTAAATTCTTTTAGAGTATACAGGATGTTAAGCAACAAATCCGTTTGTATCGGTGGTGTTTGAAACTTGAGGATAATATTTTTTTTTCTTGTCTTTTTTTTCAGAAGTTGATCTTAAAGGTTCATTTGCATTTCGTGCCAATGTTTTGACATTTGACGACAATGAAAGACTCATTTTTGATAATTGGACACCTGTGTCGTATCAGAACTTGAATCCTAACGACGAGAGCGAGACAGCAGTTAACCCAATCTTTGGCCTCCTTTTTGCTTACCATAACGACAGTAGGTGGCGCTGGGTGACTTAGAGAAACTACACGTACTATACAGGAGAAGACGGACTGCAACTTCCCTTTATTTGTGAGGATTCGCCGTTTTATTTAGAGCCAGAAGAGTGTTTTGTTATACAATGTTTCATTCTCTTTAAATTAAAATAAACATTTGCAACTATTATTTTAATTTCTTTAAGAATGTTGTAAAAAAAAGACTTAATACTAGTAATTATAATGAGTCTTCCAAAGTTCATGAAATATATTCGACTCATCAGAAGAGATCTAGATTTATCCTAATGATTAAAAAAACTATGATTAGCATGGAGACAGAATGTGTATTATATTGTGACGTCTCGATATCTTTGTGAAGAGACTTAAACTTAGATCTCTTCTCCCCATAGTATACAATATTTTATTTTACACAGTAAATTAAAATAGATTAAAATAATCATTTTTTATGCACCTGTTATTCAAGAATCAAGGGCATACATATTATCCTATGACGGTCGGTCCGTTTTCCGTTTGTTGTCAGATGATCTGTGCAATTGATATCATACTTTTCATGCTCATATCTTTTGACAAGACTTTCTTGAATACCACTAAAATTTACCTTGAACTTTTGGATTTGACCTTCTTTTAAAAATCTAAAAAAAGTTTAACCTTGGCCGTAGCCACTCATTGCAAGCTCAAGGGATTTACTACTTTACTTGTTTATCTCTTGTGGTAAGAGCTTCTCTTGAATACGAATATTTTAATCCATAACTTGGACCCCAGACTTTGACCTTCTTTTAAAAAAACTTTGGTTATGACTTTTGAATGGTTGATTCTGTGACTTTTATATTTCACCTTTGTACTCTTTGTGAAATTTCTTTGGGCATCATTTATATTGAATCATTGGCCTTGTCCAGTTTGCCCTACTTTCGAAAATATTTAGCTTTGGTCATAATTTTTGAAGTGTTGCTGATTTTCTGGTTTTCATTATAAAAGGTAGATTCATTGTAAGAAATTTTTCTTTTGGTACCAAACTATTGACCTTGGTGTATGACCTGCAAACGACAACATCCATCATAATTTGCTATACGAGAGCACCTTTGTTTAACAAACACATCTTGAATTCTTATCATTAGCTCCTAAAAACTTTTCCAATTTATTTAACTAAAAATTCTATGTTGTAATGTATACTTTTTGGGGGATACATGTGTGTATGTACCATAGTCTACACATCGCATGATAGAGGATGACTTGTCTTAACATACATATCGATGTTTGTGTCATTATTAAGCACTAGCTGAATCCCTTTTTATTAGATGCAGTCTCATAATTGCAAAGGTATTTGCAAACATATTGATTAATGTTAGCTTAGTTTTATTTGCAAAGACAGCTGCAGATATAAGATAGCATCTTTTAGAAAACAATGAGTCAGTGCTTATATTTTTACTTTTTCTAACTCCTTGTCCATTTTGCAAATTTGAATTATTATTTAGAATACTTGAATTATCTCTAAGTTGAAATCAGTTTAAATGATTTTAATTTTTGATTTTCGCTAATGACTTTGATTTTGCACGGCATTGAATGTTTGTGACGTCAGGATAAAACACCTATTACACATTTTTTTACCCTCGATCTGTTTTATGGTGTTTTGATGTTAGGAAAAGAAAAATTGCAATATCGATATTAGTCTACGATAACGTATTTTGTGCATTCAAGAGCAGAAGAATTTATATCATATTCTTTTTTAAATGATTATCTGTAGCAATAAAAGATATTGATCTTCAGAAGATTTTTTTTAATCAACGCATATAATCTACTATAATTGCGAATCTAGTATCATTGCGTTTTCTGCCACACGTAAAATTTAAGCTATTTAAATATATCTATGGAATGATAAGATTTGTGGAAAGAAATATTCAGTACCTCTGACTTCATCCATTTAGCTTATTCAAGCTATTTAAATATATCTATGGAATAAGCTATTTAAATATATCTATGGAATAATAAGATTTGTGTAAAGAAATATTCAATACCTCTGACTTCATCCATTTATCTCATTCTTATTTTTGCATTTAAGGGGTGTTTGTATAGTAGATTAATGGATTAATAAATGCTCATCCATTCAAAATACTACATGGATGGAAAAAGATAAAAAATATTCTTTTAGAGTAGCATAATCTTAGACGTATTATGCTGCAAAACAAGAACATCAAGTATAATAAATAGTTTTCTATAATCGTCTTGAAATCTTTATTACAATGAACCTGTTTTATCTGACATACATGGGGAGCAGATTACAACTGTATGTGTCGTAATAAACACAGTGTAGTATTGCTGAGCGTAATGATCAAGGACATAAGTATAGATAAATATATGAGAAATGAAATTAAATGGCAGTATTTTGCCTATGTGTCGGATTAAACAGGTTCCACTGTAATAGATTTAAGAATAAAGCAATCTTCATCCTAATTACCTGTCCAGAGGTCTTCTTTAATCAATGTTTGTAAATAAACAAAATATTTCTAATTTCAAATTTATTACAAAACATGTTCGTCATTTTTGCTTAATACATTCAGAAGAAAAAAATTACTATAATTTATTCTTTAAAAATATAGTCCATTGCCTCTTTTCTGTACAGAAAACATATCTATTTACAAGTTTGTCACTTGATGTCAATATTTATTTAAAGAAAATTTAAAATAACTGCGAAAAACAATAATTTAAGGTACGCTCTTTTGGATCATGAAGGGAATCCTAATTCATTGATGGTCTTTCACCTGTTTAAAATAAGAATTAAAAAAAAATAAGAACTGAATTAATGCATCACAGTTATAATAGCATATTTTTTTAATTAAAAAAAAACTTTTATAACTGAAATTTTCACAGTAATACAAAAACAAAAAGGAATATTGTTATTAAGATATGATGTAGTTTACCTAGTGACGTTTTATCATCATCTTGGTGCCCGTTACTGATGTTCCACTCCGTACTGTGGGAGACCAAGGAGCGGACCAGCGGCCGTTTTCCGGGTTCCAGGGACCGTTAAGGAAGACGTAGTGACAAGCGTTAAACCACCAGCCTCCTCTACGGTCATGGGTAGCAGCACAGTGATCATTATTTTTGTCATTATCCCTGTCTGGGGTTGAGAAGTACATCCCAGACAGATCATGGCGGTTTCTCATGCTGTCTCCTGAAATACAATATTATAACAATATAAATAGACACAACAGTCATCGCCAGTCATCTGTCATTATCTTCTCATGCTGTCTCCTGAAATACAATATTATAACAATATAAATAGACACAACAGTCATCGCCAGTCATCTGTCATTATCTTCTCATGCTGTCTCCTGAAACACAATATTATAACAATATAAATAGACACAACAGTCATCGCCAGTCATCTGTCATTATCTTCTCATGCTGTCTCCTGAAAAACAATATTATAACAATATAAATAGACACAACAGTCATCGCCAGTCAATCTGTCATTATCTTCTCATGCTGTCTCCTGAAATACAATAGAATAACAATATAAATAGACACAACAGTCATCTCCAGTCAATCTGTCATTATCTCTGTCTGGGGTTGAGACAGATCTCTGTAAGAATGTCCAGTGTCTAAAATAGCGTTAGTGTAAAAGTAAACAAAAGGAATCACGGGGATTATTGATGTATATATATTCTATTTGATTGTCGATGATTTAATTTCACTTGTATCAAGCAATTTCATTTGCTGAATCATTCAGAGGAACATATAATATTATGAATAACATAACTTGCCTAAGTCACAATGAGTAACGTCAAAAACGTATTACTCCGCTTAACATTACTTTTTAAATAATGCTCAATTTGTAGCCTTATTCTAGAGGAAAAATTGTCTCATTGTCTACACTGAAATGAAATTATAAAGAATAAAGCTAATTTCAACATATGTTATACGATATAAAAAAAACATGGGGCAGTTTACGCGTTTTTTATAGACCGCTTCGCGGTTTATAAAGCGTAAACTGCTCCAAGTTATATTATAATGTATAACATAAGTTAAAATTAGCTTCATTCCTTAAATTATAATACTGAGGTACTTCTAAGTTAGACGGCTTTAGATGCGGGAAAGATCGATGATATTTATATAGTTCAGACCTAGAATCTCTGGTGTCTATCATACTGGCACCTGCAGAATAAGAGAAAATATATAACAATATAATTATTGATTTACACTTAACACTGAAGTACATGTACGTCTGAGATACAAAGTTTAACATGTTGTTTCTTGTAAAGAGAGATAAAAAGATACAAGCCAAAAAAACACTGCGCAATTCATATAGCAAACTCTCTAGTGTAACAATGAACCACAGACATGTAACAGCTTCAAAACATTTTTTTTTTTTTGGGGGGGGGGTACCCGTACCTTAACCGGTCACTGGAAATATCAGAAAACATGAATAAAATGAAAAATAAAATATTCATATATGTCAGAGATCATGCCTTTAAAAATGTATATTTACATTCAGTGTAATTTTCTTTATCACAGCCATTAGAAATCCACGACGTTCAACTTTTTATAACACACAAAACACGCGAAACCTTGTCGCGTTAGAAAACACAAAAGGAACTACATGTTTCTTCAGTATTTAGGAATACCAAGATGCAAATTGTTTTGACTCAATTTCATTTAGAAATACTACATTTGTAAAATTAACATTAAATACGGCGAAAGTGCATTGAAAATTAATTTGTCATTTTATTTCCTCGCAATGTTTATTTGCGTTATTTAAATTTCCAACGTCACAAACGTCATGAACGGCTATTACGTTTGTCAAACACGCCAATACCGAAGGGCGCTAAGTTCACATTAAACATGAAGTTAATAAACAATTATGATAAAGAAAAAATTGGAGAATGTAAAAATAAGCATTGAATTTATATTTTGGATGTCCAATGCGCAGTATTCAATTTGTCAGCACAGCCAGGTGTTTTATAGGACCAAGGACATCCCAAAATATGAATTCAATGGTTAAATAAAATACAATACGAAGTAAATAATTAAAAATTTTGACGATATAAGATATGGTGTACCTGTAAATGTTTTGAATAAAATATACGTTTTGTAAATGTGAAATGTGTTGAGATGTTTAAAATATTCCATTTTAACTTTTTTTATTTTAATATATATTCGATCAAATATTTTTTTCTGTCATCAAAATTCCGTTTTTTTTTTTTTTTTTTTTTTTTTTTTTACATTTTAGATTAATGACGCTCTGTAAACTTTCTAAATTGTAAAAGCGAAAAAAGTGAAATATTTAAATTAGAATAAATTTCATTTAATAGAGAAAAAGTTATAGCAAATTTGAAACACACTGAAGTGTTCTGAATTTGTTATTTTTTTTAATTTGAATGTTTCCTGTAAAATAATTTTGTTTGAGCATGAAGCTTTCTGAAGATGTCGACATAATAAATCATTTACGCTCTGTAAACTTCCTGTCCTGTAGAAGTTAAAATTGAATTATTTAAGCATTGAATAGATATTTTGGGATGTCTTCGGTCCTATAATACACTTGGCCGTGCCGACGAATTGAATACTGCGCGTTAGCGCGGTATGATAATTTGTCGACAGGACCAGGTGTGTTATATGACCAAAGACATCTCAAAATATGAATTCAAAACTTAAATTTACATTCTTTAAATTTTCCTCTTCATAATTGTTTGCTTCTGTTATCTTTCATGTGAATTTAGCACCCTTCAAAACTGGTGTGCTTTGTAGACGTAAGAGCCGTTTGTGACGTTTGTGACGTCGAAAAGTTAAATAATGCAAACAAATAATGCCATGAAGAAAAGTGAAAAATTAAATTTAAATGCACATTTGTTGTTTTTTATGTAAATTCAATAGGATGAATTTTTTTTTAAATGAAATTGTGTAAAACAATGTACATTTGGTGTTCATAAAGTATTGAAATGCAAATAGTTCCTACTGTATATTCTAACGCGCGTGTTTTATAGAAATTTGAAAGTCGTCGATTTCTAATGAATTTCATACAGAAAATTACATTGAATGTAAGTATAAAAAATTATCAGGAAACCCAAGCTGAATAACAGTGTTTGAGAAAATGTAATTACTGGCTTAGTTTGTGGAATATAATTAACTTTCTTGAAATTTTAGCTATCTGACATTAACAAATTCAATATTTGCGGAATAAGTGAATTGAAGCGTGGAATAAATAAGATTTACAAGATGTCAGAAAAAACATATATTTTTTCAACAACTTAATAATCTTTCAATGTAAAAATGTATTTTTATAATAAAATACGGTATTAAACCCAATATTAAGACCGTAACGTGGAAACACTTACCTAAGGTCCCCGTGGCAGGTCCTGTAAGAAGGAGTTGATATTTTCCTGTTTCAACGGATACAGAGAATCTATCATACATTTCATACAGCGTTGTACCATTCTGTAGAGTTATGGTGACATACAGGGATGAGGTACCTTCTTTTGTTAATTGATGGATTACGTCAAGTCCTGTATTAAGATATATTCTTAATAATGATTCATAAAGCTTCCGTTAAATTACCTCACAAGACAGCACCGGGCCTCAAGACCACAAAATGAGAATAGACTTCAGTCAAAATTTCAAATCACTACTATTCTTTAAATATTTTTGATAATGTAACAATTATACACATTTGCAAAATACATAATTAGATCTAAAGATATTCAATATATGAAAGTGTTGACTTAAGTCGATTCTGCATTTATGGTCTTGAGGCTTAAAAACGTTTCTCTAATATTGACAAAACGGTAAAAATGTGGATTCAAGGTTCTATACAAAAATTTTTTGCTCCAACTTCAATTACTCGAGAGCTTTTCAGATGAATTTGTGATATTTATGTAGAAACCGTAAGATTCAAATAAGAAGATTGAAGTTGTTTGCATATTTTTAAAAAAATAAGGATGCATTAAAATGAATCGCTTAATACGAATTACAAAAGGTAAAAGAGAAACACTGTTATAGTGCTAGACAGTTTTCAGTCCAAAATATCTGAAATTTTTATGGTTTTTTTCATGTTGTAAGTAACAAGGTACAGTTTCAATACAAATTTATTCCTGTTCTTTTCAAAAATATGAAAGTAATATAAGAAATTTAAGATTTTTCAAAGCAGATTACATAATATATCCAAATTTTGAAGCAAGAGACGATGGCAGACACTATTTTCTGAAGTAAAATAAGCACAAAAATATCGGTAAGTCATTCTGAGGTTTTTCTGCATTATACTTAGAAATGTTCCAAATTAATGACGTCATAATTTCAGAATGTTCATCCTCCATGCCATATACTTTAATGATTTATCATATTCACCTACTCAACTATTGTTAAAGCCAATTTCATAACTTTTTAAGAACTATCAAGATATTGGGAACAATAATGTCCAATTAAACCGTATTTTCTTTTTTTTTTTATTTACCGGGTGGCAGTTAATGCAAAATTTACAACAGGACATTTTACCAACCATGAAAACCTACAATAACAAAAAATACTGCATGCATGGAAAAAGATGAAGGGTTTTCTTAATAGAAGCTTAATCTTACATGTATTGTGTTGCAAAACATGGAATCAAATATACATAATTATTTGTTTTATATATCTTAAAATCTTTAATATAATGAAACCTGTCTTACCCGGCATGTACGGGGAGCAGATTACAATTGTATGTGTCAGAATGAATAACATGTAGAATTGCAACGTTTAAAGATTGTGGACATAAGTAGAAATAAGACATGAAATAATGGTCGATATCACAGTAAAGCGTATTGGACAATTGTCGGATTAAACAAGTTCCATTGTAATAGGTATAACAATAAAGCAGTTTACATCCTAATTATCCGTCCAGACATCATCATTCATCAGTGTTTGAAAATAAGACGAAATAAAACACATGTAATATACATCTTTTACTAGTTACATTTGATAGTAAAAAATCCAATAATTTATTGGTTTTAAAAATAGTACACCGCCTTTATTGAAACCATTTTTTGGTTGCAAGTGTTCTCACTTCATGTCAAACATTATTTTTAAAAAGGACCTCGTGATGAAGATAAATTCAAAACCATCTTCCTCATCATAAATGATTTTTCTGATTGATGGGTGGTCGGTCATCTGTTAAAAATTAGGGGTGAAAATTATAATCAAATAATGGTTCACAGAAATAAAAGCATATTTTAAAGAAGAAAACAAAAACCCTATGATAACCATTAGGTTACGGAAATACAAAAGGAAAAACAATCTGTTTATTTAAATTTAATGAGGTTTACCTAATGACGTCTGACCATCATGGTGGTCCCCTTCACTGATGTCCCACTCGTTACTGTGGGATCCCATGGCCAGTGCCAATATATGGACCACACACCGTTAAGGAAGGCGCGATGACAGGCATTAAACCACCAGCCTCCTCTACGGTTACTGAGATCTGCACAGTTATAAAGCAGATTTCTCATTATCCCTGTCGTGGGTGGAGAATGACATCCCAGACAGATCGTGGTAGGGATAACCTGTTTCTATCAAACTGTTTAATCCAGATGTACAGGAAATATATCATAAAGGTAATGGATTCATTTAAGGAATGCAGCTAATTTCAACTTATGTTATCCGATAGTTATGTTATCCAAAATATTATATGTTCCTCTGATTGATTCAGCCAATGAAATTGCTTGATATAAGTGAAATTAAATTATTTATAGATGCTTTTGCCCGTTGAAATGAATGAACACTTAACTGAATTTGGTATTCAAGGTTTAATAAATTGACTGATCGAGGCATGTTAATAAAAAAATAAATCAAATTCGTTTTCATTTTTCGGCAATCATGAATTAGTGCATCGCTGTCTGCACAAAAGCCCCTGAGATATGAAGCAATATTTCTGAATACACAAACAGAATGGCTGTATATATTTTGGCATTAAAGATAGTCAGCGGAATTTTAGCTTGTATGTCATTTGTGTTTGCTTATCCTATGAAAAGAAAAAAAAAAGTTCTATAGGATAACTGTGCATTTTGAAATAATTCTTGTCATCGAATTTCAAGTACATGTGTTACATCTTTGGTTCAAGCATCCTTTTGTCATACATTACTTTTCCTTTATCCCAATGTAGTATTATTGTTCTTGTTTTTAAAAAGCACAGCTGTTCAAAGAGAATTAAATATCTGAATTTAAGGATGACGTTTACTCAGGTTTCAGAAATCCTAGAGGAAATTTTATAAAGTATAATATATTGAATAAAAAATGTTCTAAATGGATGAAATAACTTAGTTTTATTAATATCAATTTAAAAATTTAATATGTAAGTACTTGAGGAAAATATACAGGAAGAAAACTCAATGTATTGTTATGCAGAGGAAATTCGGACTAAATTTGTATTTTTTTCATTTTTTTCAAAATTTTTATTTCTTGCAATATTAATCACAAAGAAAAGGTTACATGTATTTTAAGACATCATTTTTCAAATTTTACTTGTGTTTAAGCTCATAAATTATTTCAAATAAAAGAATGCTATGAAAAAAAGAAATTAAAAAACATATACGAAAACAACTGTAGTCAACATATCTCAATAATTTGATCATTGACCCAATATAATATTAATACCATGAGAATGCGGGTAACAAAAGTAGCCAGAGACTATAAATAATTAAGAGTTCTTATCAGTCAGATTTTTGCAATATTTTATTAAAAATAGGGAAAAAATATAAATATGACAGAGGAAATTCGGGCTGTAATAATTATCACATTTATGGCCCAAACTCTACTCATATCTTTATACAGAGCAACTCTGTTCCATTGCTATAATATTTCATTATTTAAAGTTTTGTTGCTTGTAATATTTTGTTAGTGAAGAAAAAAATGGTCATAGTGTGAAAAATTGGGGTATTTCCCGAGAAATATTCCGGGGCCCCTTGCATGAAAACGAGGTCATTGACCTAGTTATCTGAAATTGAAATTTAACACAAGAATCATAGGTGTACAAAGTGCAATAGGTGGGTTTTCGTTCTTGTCAGTGGAATTTTTAGTCATCTGAGTAAAGGTATACCTTAAAGCTTGCAGAGAAAGTTTAGACTAAGAAAAATGCATTACATCATTTTTTCTGTTTGGATTTCCTCTATATAATAAAGAGAGAACAAGATACGGTTTCTATACAAATCTTTCCCTGTGATTTTCAGAAAAAAATAATAAAACTAGTGTGAAAGATGTAAACTAATGCTTTCTGAATCATTGAAATTCCATGCAGAAAAATCATACAAATCATTTTTCTAACACGTGATTTTAAATGTTTATTTTGACGTCATGAGCATGTGCATTTTCCCGTATTTTCTTCAAAAGTTGCAAAAGACACCAATTTTTAATGGAATTTTCTTTCTGAATATATTCTCCACAGGCATGGCCCACAAAGATTTTGAGATATGTGATTTTTTATTTTTTCTATTTTTTTCTTGGGGAGGGGGGGGGGGTGGGCAACATATAAAAAAATTAAAGTGGGCGACGGCTGTGGACAAGATTTTCTGAGGGTAAAATGTCCTTGAAATCGGTTAATTTGAGACTTTAAATACTAGAAATGCATCACATTTATGACGACATATTTACATAATGGTAATCCTTTGTGCCATTTTCTTTCCTGATTTTTCAAAGCCATATACTTAACTAATATTTAAGCCAGTTTCAAAACTTTTTGATGACATAACTTTTTAGGGCACAATAAAGCTAAAACGAAACCTTCTTCTTGTGTGACGATGTTAGGGATCTATTCACTTCTAAAAGACGGGGACTAACATGATACATGAACTGAAATACATATGTTTTCATGCGTCTTTTAATACATCTTTTTTCATTCTTTTAGGTGTACTCTCGGTGCCTTTTCTTCAATGCCCTTTGAATGAATTTGAATGGGAAACCAGGTCGAAGAGATTGTTTTGCCAAGGAAATGAAGAATACCATTGTCTTCTTACGGAGGACACGGTATCAAGAAAGGAGAAGTGTATTCAAATAACAACAATAGCCGACGGTTATATTTTGAATTATTCATTGTTTTCAATCAACGTTTAATAATGTTAAACTGATATTTACTTTGTTTATGAATGGGTAAATTGTGTCTATGAATAAATAGAGGGCTTTATACTTCGACGGCGTCCGACATTAATTATAGCTACATCTTGATGTAACAATACATATTTGAACACATGTATTTAATGTATGCAGGGAATTGCCCAATATTCACTACAACTGGCTACTTACGTAGCAGACCATGCAATATTACAGGCTGTCCAAAAGAGAGGTACCGAAGTAATGAGGTCTACAAATGTAAGAAATATTGGCATGAATATTCGCAAAGTGGAATCTTTCTGATTATTGTTCTTACAACAAGTTTTATGATTAGTTATTACTCTTGCAGATCCAATATGTTATGGCAATATTAATGAAAATACTAATGGCGTAATAAGGCATGAAGGGAAATCACGGATGACTATTTTTGCAGGATAAATATTAGCAGAACATGTATTACTATGTTTTATTTAAAATCAAAACTTTACAATGGATAAAGGAATGGATATAATGCATTCGATTACTTATTATTAGTCTGCCAAACTGCTAAAATATTCTTTATATTTATAACAAAATGTGTAACAGACTATCACTAACCATTTTTTTTTCTATCTTACTTCCAAAGACATACCTTTAAAACTGCAGAAAGCTACTATACAAGTAGAACTCTTTCATTTGCAGTAATAAGAGCTTCCTTAAATAAACGGTATTACGTCTGCTTTTGGATGTCCAAACATATATTGTTTGGGGGAATTGCTGAACTAGAACGAAGAAATTCGGATTGAGAACAATAGAATTAAGGTTTAAAATTATTTAAGAATACGTTAGCTTAGAAACAAAACCAGCATTGAAAAAGGGAGCATGTCTTAGTAAAAAAAACAACA